GGTAAGGTGGTGGTAAGTCGTGATGTTGAATTTGATGAAGAACTGGCATGGAATTGGGAAGCTGAGGAAGAAACTTCATATGATTTTCTTCCATACTTTGGTGATGAAGAAGAACCGGAGACCGTGGAACCTGTGCAGGACACAACTCCACCTTATTCTCCAACAAATGTTGCATCTCCCTCTTCTCAAGAAGGTTCAAATGAACAATTGCAAAAGACAAGGAGCATTCAAGAGCTCTATGAGGACACAAAAGAAGTTACTAATTTTGATTTTTTATGTTGTCTCTTTGCTGACAGTGAACCAATGAACTTTGATGAAGTTGTTACAAACAAAAGGTGGAGACAAGCCATGTAGAAGGAGATTGAGTCAATAGAGAAGAACAACACTTGGGAGTTAACAACTTTTCCCAAGGGTTATCGAGCAATTGGAGTGAAATGGGTATACAAGACAAAGAAGAATGTTGATGGAGATGTGGAGATATACAAGGCACGACTTGTGGCTAAAGGCTACAAGCAAAGGCAAGGCATTGACTATGAAGAAGTCTATGCACCTGTTTCCCGCATGGAGACTATTCGTTTGCTGATCTTTTTGGCGGTGCAAATGAAGTGGATGATTCATCAACTAGATGTCAAGTCAGCCTTCTTGAATGACTATCTTGAAGAAGAAGTCTATGTGGAACAACCATTGGGCTTAGTGGTCAAAAACCATGAAGATAAAGTGTTGCGGTTGAAGAAAGCTTTATATGGATTAAAGCAAGCCCCACGAGCATGGAATAGTTGCATCGACAAGTATTTTCAAGACAATGGGTTTACTCGTTGTCTCCATGAATATGCTCTTTACCTTAAAGTTCATACTAATGGAGATATCTTACTTGTTTGTCTTTATGTTGATGATCTTATTTTTACGAGTAATAACCCAAGTTTGTTTGAAGCTTTCAAGAAAGATATGTCCCGTAAGTTCGAGATGACAGATGTAGGGCCCATGTCATATTACCTGGGCCTAGAAGTGAAGCAGATGGAGGATGAAATTTTTATCTATCAAGAAACTATACAAAGGAGATATTGAAGAAGTTCAACATGCTCGATTGCAACCCCGTGAACACACCGATGGAAAGTGGGACAAAATTGTCCAAGTTTGATGAAGGAGAAAAAGTGGATCCCACATTCTTCAAAAGTCTTGTGGGAAGTTTGAGGTACTTGACTTGTACCAGACCAGATATACTTTTTGCAGTTGGAGTAGTAAGTCGCTTCATGGAGGCTCCTACCTCTACTCACTTGAAGGTCACTAGAAGAATTCTTCGTTACCTAAAAGGTACGATCGATTTTGGGTTATTTTATTCTTCTTCTAATGATTTCAACCTTGTGGGATTTTGTGATAGTGATTATGCGGGAGATATTGATGATAGAAAAAGTACAACTGGTTTTGTATTTTTCTTGGGTGATTCTATTATTTCTTGGAGTTCAAAGAAACAGTCCATTGTTACTCGCTCGACTTATGAAGCCGAATATATAGCAGCAACATCATGTACCTATCATGCTATTTGGCTAAGGAGATTATTAAAGGAGCTCAATTTGCCACAAATGGAAGCTACAAAGATTTGTATTGATAACAAATCTGCACATGCACTCGCCAAGAATTCGGTATATCATGATCGAAGCAAGCATATAGATACAAGGTATCATTTCATCAGAGAGTGCATTGCCAAGAAGGAAGTCGGGCTCAAATATGTGAAGTCTCATGATAAAGTTGCAGATATCTTCACAAAGCCTCTTAAGTTTGAAGATTTTCAAAGATTGAGATCAAGACTTGTAATAAAGAAGAAAAATCAAAATTAAGGGAGAGATTTGTAGGACCCATAAAAGGAAAAAAGGAAATAAAGAAAAAGTTTAAAAAGTTGGTGAAGTCAAATTAGGGTGGCTGAATTTTTTTCAATAAGGGCGGCTGAATTCTGGACTTTACAAATTGAGGAACCAATCAGATTAGTTGGGTTGGTGAAAATGTGCCTATGAATATGAGCTTCATTCGTTCAGTTTAAGTACACCAAAATAACGAGAGAAGCATAACGTAGTGAGAGTAATCCACAGATTGTGGTCTGTGAGATAACTAGTGAGTGGTAGTAATATTGTAGTGAGGTATTTAAATAAAGAGTGTTATTTCTTTCAAAGTTGTAG